TGCCTGAGGGACTCAGCAGAGCTGGGATCTACTACCAGCAGGGAAGTGCATCTGTCTGAGGACCAGGATTCGTGCCAATTGTCAGGGACAGTAGGTGTGAGGAGGAAGCAACAGCAGCTACAGCTTTCTGGAGGTGAGGAACGTTGAAGGTAGGATGGGGAGGGGACTCCAGGCTAAAGGTTTTTCCCCTTTACCTCTAGTCCTGGAGGGAAAGGAGCCCCCTCCCCCCCGAGGTCTCCATGGCCCCTACAGAGACCACAGGACAGCAGCAGCGAGGAGAGAGGCAGAGGGAGTTTATTGTTCTGGGTAGCGACTTAAATAGCTCTTGGGGGGATTACAAAGTGACCATTGGGAGTCCAGGAGGTCTTACAAACCAACCAATGATAACAAAGGGTTAACAACCAATAGGGAAACTTTCAGGTATCTCTCAGGACATTCCAAAGTAGAGATAAGATTGAGACTCCTGGGAAGAAGGTGAATTTGCAAAAGTTACAAAAGCCATCTTGGAAACATGTTCACTTAACATTAAAAAGCTCTGTTTTCTCTTAAACACTAAAAATCCTACTGCAACATGGAGGACAATATTTTATACTGCAGGATGATGGAAGACAATCTTTGCTTTAGAACCCTGCAGCCTCCCCACCTATTTAAGGGAAGGATCAGCATCTATGTCTTCCATTACTCACCACCACTTCTGTACCTTCAGTCATTAAGCCTGTGCCCTTTCTTCCCCTTGGATCCTCCACAGCAGTCACTCTATATCATCATTATCCCCCCTCTCTCTCTGTCCTGTCACCGTTCATCCTGACGTGAGAGACACAGAGGCAGCAGAAGCTGTCCCGGCCAGCGTAACTCCTGCTCCAGGTTCCGTGTGCCACCTCGGAAAAGCCTCCGTCCCCCCTTGTGGTCGCCTCAAGGTGAATCGGGGCTGACTGCCAAGCAGTTGACTGCTCGTTCACACATATCTCTGAATCCCACCCCTGCTTCCCCAAATTCCCTCACTATGGGTTTGTCTGTTGTTTCAGAGGAGAAAGCTGAGCCCTACTGCTCTGTGATTGAAAGCTTTCATGGGAGTGCAACAAAAACTCTTAATGTTCTTTGCTCCAAGTCGTGCAGTTGATGTCACTACTGCAGTTCTCTTCACATGGACAAAAACAGCATCATAACAACTTTTTCTTTGATTTTTTTGTTTGTTTGAAGGTACCTTGCTACATGACTTTTGGTATCAAAGAAAGCTTTCAAAACTGCTTCACTCCTTAGTTTTGGAAAAATATGTTTTGCCCTCAAAGAGGAACTTGTATAAACCAAAGCTGAGACAGCGATGCTGGCTAGAGGATAAGCACTCAGCTGCATTTCTTTATTCCATTTGCATATGATATGGGAGAAGACAATAATTCTCTCTCTAATGTAACACATTTGCAATTCCAAAAGATTTGCTGAAAATTGCCTCCAAGTAATTCTTGGTCTGTAATACATCTAGTTTCCATGGTGTTAGACAATAATAAAACTACCACTACCATCAGTTTAGGTGAGTTTTAAAAATCCTGCATAGAATTTCCAGTATTAACTATATTTATATTAACTATCAAATGCACACTTTATACTACAGCCCCTGCCAACAGGGACATGTAGTGATAGCACAAGGAGTAATGGCTTTAAACTGAAAAAAGAGGAGGTTTAGATTAGATATTAGGAAGAAATTCTTTCTGTGAGGGTGGTGAGGCTCTGGAACAGACTGCCCAGAGAAGTTGTGGATGCCCCATCCCTAGAGTTAAGCCAGGTTGGACAGGGCTCTGAGAAACTGGGTCTAGTGGAAGACATCCCTGCCCACTGGAGAGCATTTGGGGTTAGATGATCTTTAAGGTCCCTTCCAACCCAAACCATTCAAAGATTCTATGACTTGCTTGCTGGAAAAACACAAATATTCAGAAGGGCTTCATCTAAGGGCCTTAAAGGCTCTTGGTAAAGACTCCCCTGCTGCCTCCAGCCACATCCTATGCCTGAGAGATGAGTCATGTAGTCTTGAGAAAGGAACTGTAGCATTTATTGTGAACAAAACCAATGCGGGATGCGGTCAGTGGCTGTCAAAGGTCACGGGGTCCACACTGGGTGATCGTGTTGCTTCCCAGCCTCCTTTACACCAGAGAACAAGAGGAGAGCATTTCATATGCTGTGGGTGGTGAAGTACAGGCAGGGCTTGTTTGCACCCAGGCACTGAGCGGCCTGGCAGAAGGCACAAGCAATATCCAAATACTAATCCAAGCCTCTGCAGAGACACACCTCCAAGTCTGCTTCCACCTCAGACAGAAATTGGTGATGCTGCCTTTCTTGCCCTCTTCTGTCACCAGAGTTTACCTATGGAAATCTGTGGGGCATCTCTGCCTGCCTGGTGGTAGTAACACTTGCATTTAGATCTTACAGCACCACCAGAATTTGTTGGCTCATGTTAAGGAAATGCTTTTAAAGATACCTATCTGTGACACTGTCTTTTATAGCTGACTTACACACAAACTTCTTGTTTGCTTGTTTTGAAATGAGCTGCAATAATTCATAAAAAGTGACATGAACTTACCACGTACATGCCTAAAATCTAGGTTTTTTAAACCATGACTTACCTGTCAGACAGCCCCAGCCTGGAAAGTGTCCCAACTATTGCCTCGGTGATGCAGCACCATAGTCAGGCTGGAAAACAACTGCAAATCTATGCATGTGGCTTCTCAGAGTGCTGGGTTCATAGGTTGCAGGACAGGAGCACCCATGTCCAGTCACACCTCTGTTCCAGGGATAACCCTGTAATGGCACATTCAAGGGATTTGATATTATCACCAATGATTCTGTGACATTGGTTTTACCCACCAATCTGGGCCCACTTGTCTGAAGGTGGCATGAGCCACAGCCTCCTTGCAGAAGCTGCTATGCAGTTTGGCATCCTCTCTCACACCTAAGGTGGCTTAGGTGTCACAAAAAAATATAGTTGGATAAAAACAGACCATTTCCCTTCCCTGCACCTCACAGTTCAGGCAAGACCCCTGAGCAGGGCTTGGTGAGCTAATGATGCACACAAATGTACTTGCACATTAACACACACTCCAGCAGGGACTAGTTATATACCACTGTCCTGCAGCTTCTTCTGGACTGACTCTGTTCCCTAGGCTGCCAAAGTCAGCTCTGGTCAGCAGTAACTTGTTATCAACTTTCCTTTGTTTGGCTGTGCAAAAACTTGAAAATCAGCCCGTAGTTTAGGTGAAAACCAGAAAGAATTATTAAATAACAAAACTTTAACATTTCCAGAACAAGTTAGAAAACAGATTTTTATTTTTTTTATTTGGAACAAAACCATGGCAAAGAAAGGGAGAGGAGGAACCAGAAAGAAACAATAGCTGGGCACAAACACATACAGTTAAAGGAAGAGCACAGGCTGCAACACTTCTCTCCTGATCCCACAGTTACAGAAACTTTTGCCCCATTGCTGAATGGCAACTTCAGTGGGAGAGGACATAAAACCACCCATGTCCCATCTGCCTCATAAAGACCTCTCACATCTCAGACGCCCATCTCAATGGGAAAAATCCTTTCCAGACTGGGGTTACTCTAGTGATGGTGTTAACAGCTACCCAGGCACCCCCACCTCCAGGGCTGACAGCAGGAAGGCAGAACTGGGGTGAGCTGGAGCCGGGATGCACCAGCCCAGCAGGACAAGGCTGGCCCCGCTCCCTCCCCCTCAGCACCTAAACACTGCCACCTTCTCCAGTGCCCCTCAAAGCACCCTTCAGTCTTTAAAGCATACGCTGGAGTCGACCGTCCCCTGCCTGCCCCTGCCAGAATATGCAGAAGTAAAGCAAAGCTGCCTCTGCCCCCCCCTTTTGGTGGCACTGACCCACTGACACTCTTCTCTCAGCTGCTCCTGCACTGCCTACGGGCAGCTGCCACCCCAAGCACTCAGTGTCACATGTTAGTCACTCAACTCATATCCTTTGAGGAATGTTTGCACTGAAAGGAGATAATGCAGCACCATAAGGAAAAGAATTATCATTTCACTCCTAACCTTGGAAAATCTGATTCCTGTGGCAGCCCTAAAAAACAAAGACGGGCTGAGTCACCACCAACACAGCTCACAAGATCCAAAAATCTTTTAAAGAGAATCACAGGACAAGGAAACAACAAGAACAACTACCCATGGCTGGGTGTCACTGATGCAGAGCCTTGACACCACACAGAGATGAAGGACTCCCAGGGAAGTGTGCAGCCATCCCACCAGCTCCCTCACCTGGAAGAGAAGAGTTCAGTTTACCCCGCATTTTGCTGGGGTACTCGCAGACCTTGTTGGATGGTATTTACAAGGCATATCTTAAATCTGTTTCCAAGGGAATCACAGCACAATGTCAGCACAATATAAAACAGGAGCGAAATGACAAGGGAAGAGAGGGATGCAATATACTTCCCCATCCCTTTTGATCCCAATATATACCACCTCTGCTGTAACTACACCATGCATTTCTAGCTCATTGGGCTAGTTTAACATCAATATGCCTCACTTTTGACTATCAAAGTTGTCTTGTGCAGTAATTACCTTACTCTGGCAGCGCATCCTGCAGCCCTGGGGCAGCTGTGCCAGGGACTCAGCTACCTGCTGCCTGGGACAGAGCCCTTGCCCTCTCCTCACCTCTTTCTTCTTCCCTGCAGGTCTACCCCAGCTGTTCCACATGCAAACCTCCCCTGAGCAGAACAGGACATGCGTAGCAGCAAGACTTGCCTAAGAGATGCTATAAATTGCTGCTGTCTGAGCAAATAGCACAGCACCCAACAAGCCTACATGCACAGGCAGATGGCCAGTTTCAGCTTGCAGTAGCTAAATCATTACACTGAAGGCACTAATGCTTGTACTGATAAACAATCTTAGCATTATAATCAATGTTTCTGCCGAAGTTGTACACCCAGGCCCCCTTCTGCTGCAGGACACAAGCTGGTGCTGGTGCTGGTTTAGCTCCCAGGTAACCCAAGCAGGTGAGCAAAGCCAGTCATCACCCTCCAGTCCCCACGACTGCTCCTGGCCCCAGGCAGCAAGCAGTGAGGGGCAGATCACAGAGGGTCCAGAGCTCAGATAAACACCCTTCACACAGATACCTGGTTGAAACCTCCACTGAGTTTCTTTTGCAGGGCCTGTGAAAAAATGCCTTGAAATCTCCCAAGACGAGATTTTTTTTCTTTCTCAGGAAATTTCTGGCAAGTCCTTTGTTTATGTCTGGGACTGGCAGGACACCACAATCCCCCTGTCATGCCTGTCTTTGGCTGGCAAAGACATGGCAAGGCATTGGGTGGGCAGGGAGCAGGAGGAACCACCCAGTTTGTTTCAGGCTGTCACCTGGGGCAGCACAGTTTAGCTGCAGCTCTGTTATCAAGCAAAGCATCAAGGAGCTGCCCAGTTTTGTTTGTTAGTGAACCTGTCAGCTCATGGCAGTGTGGCCTTGAAGCCACTGGTGTGCTTTTCTTTATATTTTCTTTTTTATTTTTTAAATGAGGTTAGAAGGTCTGACACCTCACATCTTTTCCCTTCTGAAATTTGCCAGACTAATTCTTACACACGATGAGACTATGGGATGCAAAGGACAAGTGTCATAGGCTTCAGGGTGGAACAGCAAGCATGTCAGATCAGTCATCAGTTAGATCTGGGAAACAGTCCGAGGCATCTTCCTGGCTTTCCGCATCAGCTATGACCTCAGGGTCTGGCAGTTCCTCAGCTTCTATCTGCACTGCTAAGTTTTCTTCTGCCGGTGGCTGGGCCTCAACACCTGGACCAGTCTGGGCAGCATCTGGAAAAAGGAGAAATGGTTTATATTATTTCCCACACCATGGCTCACAGTCCCGGAATTACTCATTTACTGAGCTATCCATCATGTCTATAGACACTTGGGCACTGAAGATGTCTGGCCTCTTAGTACTAAAGTACTGCAGTACTTCTAGTACCAAACCTTTAGTACCAAAAAAGCCAAATCTATTCACTTCCATCTGAATAATTAAAGGTGGCTAACAGCACACATTTAATATCTTCTCACTTGCTTTCTACACACATCTCCACTTTTTACCTAATTGTAAAAAATTTCAATATGGGCTACTTTTTTTTAGTCAAACTGTTACTTTTTATTGAAAGTTTTACACTTGAAGTATATTAATATTAAACAGTGACCTGAAAGGCACTTTTTTTTTCCTTTCTTGCTCTATGTTCATGAGTAGCTTTTAATATTTTGAAAGCAGAGTAAAGCAGCATCCAAGGTTAGCCATAAAGCACAGCTGAGCTGCTGGAGGCTGTGCTCAGTACAGTGAAGGACATCAGACATGGGGACAGCAGTGCTGAGACCGGGCTATGACCTATGTAATATTGCTCCAGTTCACGATGTCTCTGCGAAAACTACTTCAGCTGATGACGGTGCATTAGTAGGGAAGGTGTTGCCAGCATTTGTGTTCGTGAAACAGAATTGTGGGAAACATAATGCAAAAAGTGGGAGTATTAATATCAAGCACTTACAGAACAGGAGATTTCTGAAGGGTTTTTATTGCTGCACTCTCTTGACCATATTGTGCTAAAGCTGTAGGGGGTTTATGCTCTGTTTCTTTGAAGCATTAAAAATGTGATCGTATTCCCACTTTAGTCTCAATTTAAGGAAATACACAAGCCTCTGGCTATGATGGGATTTAGCTGTATTTACAGCTCAGCATTTTTGGTTCATGCTGTCTTGAAGATGAGTGCTTACAAAAACAATGCAGATTTTTATAAAACATTACTGATGAGAAGGGGATTGGGGTGATGAAATTGCAGGAAAACTGCTAAGTTTCGGCTGGTTGCTGTTTTTGAGATGTGTGTTTTAGCACAGATGATATTGGGATAGATAGTTACTGGCAGTCCCCTCTGTGGGATGCTTATGGGATGGCTGCTGCTATATCTCAGAGCTGGGTGGGGGTGGGAGTTACCCCTGTGACAGAGCTGAGCCAGAGTAAGGTGCTGATAAATGACTTGCTTCGACTTCTGTCATCCGGACAAAATGCAGCACCTTCCTTGTTCTAGCGTGCCCCAAACTCCTCTCTACAGTCACCTCCACCACCATCACCCATGAAACATACACCATGTCCTTCATCCTCCTAAACAAGGCGTCTGCCCCACTTCAGAAAAGTCACTGGACGCACCAGGCTTTGGAGGGCGGTCAGCTTGGGCAGCTTGAACCTCGACGTGGTCTCCATTGGGGGGGCTCTTCACACCTTCACTGGACACCACTGACATGGTTAGTCCGTCATCCTTCTCCTCCTCTGTAAAACCAAAACTGGAGACTTGAAGGGAAGAGGCCCCCCATAGCCCTCCAGCCTCAGCATGTCCCTTGCAATGCCAGACCACCAACACCTTTGTGTCTCCTCCTCATGCAGAACTGGCTCCCTTCCCAGAGCAGACAGATGCCGAGGACAGAGGGACATTGCCAACCTGTCACAGACCAGCTTGGCCATGCTGGCAGGTTCACAGCTTGAGGTAGCCTCACAGGGCACGGGCAGATTGCACTCAGGGACTGGTGCTGACAGAGGACTGTCATCAGAAACCTTTGGGTCATTCCAGGATCAGACCAGAATGAGGTTCAATTTTCTTGCCCATAGAAAAGGTGAGTTGCTGTGAGTTTTGTCTGGCCAGGAGCACACAGTAGCAAGTGTGAGGTGAATAAAGGGAAAGGAAGGTTTAATTCAAGATTCCCCTGGCCATAACACCTATTAGCAAGCAGATTACTGCTCTACCGGGTCGAGGGAGGACAGGCTGGAGGACAAGCAGCCACCCAGCATAGACCAGTTTACTCTGAGGCTGTGTCAACCCCAGCCTGCATAAACACGGTCCTCTCTGAAACTCATCCCAAGGGGTCACAGCATTCTTCACTCACCTGAAGGCACAGGGATGAACTTGTGTTTCCTTTTCACGCAGCAACATACAACCGAGGGCACAACCACCACCAGGATAAACACACCCACTGCACACCCTGCCAGGATGTAAATGAACCACGGGTACTGCAGCAAGTCTCCTGCAAGAAGGACAAGGCATTGTTAGGCACCAGAGTGGACAGGCTTCTTTCTCCCAATGGGAGTAACCCTGCAGCTGGATTAGAGCATGTGGGCAAGCACTGTTGCTCTGGTTTGGATCAGGGAAGCTAATACGGTGAACTGTGGCAGAGCATGAGTTACATCACAGTGTTTAAGTATGGTATGGAACTTTTCAGCAGGAGAACAGGTTTGTGTGACTAATTTCTGCCTGCTCTGATCAGTAACATCTGAGATAATTTCTAAGTTTTAATCAAGATTAAGAGGGAAGGTGGTGGCTTAAAAGACACTACATTAAACAAGTGTTATGAAAAGAAGCAGCTGAGAAGAGGAGGGAGACCTAGGGAGGCTTCTCCTGCTGAAGGGAAAGCTGCAGTCTACCCTCAGAGCCTGTATTAGGCCCAGAGAATCCGCTTAGGACAGCCATGAAAGGACTGCTCCAACCTCAGAGCAGGTCTGATCAGAGCCTGCACTCCTCAGGCACCAAAGGCTGCAGCCACCCGAGCCAGAGCTGTAGGAAACCAACTTCACTGCTGCTCAGAGAAGGATTTCTCTCGGTTCCCCTGCCTAGCTGAGATGATGCAAAACCCCCAGCAGGAGGTGAAGGCTGCAGATGGCTGAGCAGAAGGCCACGCACAAGTCAGTGGTAATTATTACCCAGCTCAGCATCCCTTGCTCAGGGTTGCTTTGACGGGTCAGACCTGCATGTTTGCTGCTGCTGAGCAGGGAAGATGGTGGGGGGCATCACACACTTGCAGAAAAGAGAAACTCATCCAGACTTGCTCCCTCACTGAGACAATTTGCTCCAGCCTGGGGCAGCCAGGAGGAAAACTCTTCTTCTCATGTGAAAAAACCCCCATACAATTCCACTATTACTACAATATAAATTCCTTAAAACTCCTCAGGTAAGCCTATGCCATCCTTTTCTGAATCATTTAACTTCTTTTCAGCTGCACACATGCCTGCATAGCACAGCACAGCACAGCACTGCACTGCAGCAACCAACAGGATCATTTGGAGCTTATTTTCCAGCCCTCCAAAGCACAAATTGCTCCATGTCTCCAAAAGCTGAGAAAGATTTCAAATGTTCCAAGTCATACTACACGCTGTCATAGTCAACACACTCACCAGGACAGTAAAAACAACAGCGTGTGCTCCTGTGTGAGAAACCACATGTACTCACGGTATTTTCAGAGTAATTTTTCCAGTTTCTTTCGGAACAGTTGCCAAATTAAAAAATAAAACATACTCGAGAGAAAACTTTAGGCAAATCAGAAATAATTTCCCTAATAATTTTATTTCCTTTTTCATAAAAGCTTAGAGAATATTATCAAAGACATGAATATTTAGTTGGATTTTTTCTGAATTTTTTCCCTAAAAATTTGCCATTTGTTGAAAAGGTCTTTTTGAGATAAAATGTTCTGTTAAAAATAAGCAATAAACAAGTAATGAATCAATAAATGTCTTTTATACACATTGACTTGTTAAGTTCTGAATCCTCTTCTTTAAATCCTGTATATTCAGAGCTCTTTCATGCCTGAAAAGTTCACAGCATTTCTGCCAAATTGTTTTATAGTAGCAATTATTCAAAATTAATCATCAGTCAACAGGTTGCCCAAACAGGTGTTTTTACATAGATCTTACACCTACAGTAGAAAAATTAAATTCAGCCCTTGGCCTGGAACAAATAATAACCCACAAAAATATTTACTTAGTCATTAAGTAATTTAGATGAACTCGTTTTTCAATTCATTTTACTAGTATTTAGAATTGCTTTAGTTCACATTTTACAAATGTGGTTGCATTTGGTGGCTAAAGTAGAACTGATGTCACTTTCTTTCTCTCAGAGCCTTCCAAATACATGTTCATGAGTGTGTCCATCCCGACAGAGCTACCACTGAGTGCCCCTGGGGGCTCTTCAAGAGGAAATGGGAACTGATATCGCACCCAGGGAACTGGGCAGCCACCCAGAATCGATGATGGTGACTGTCAGCACTCACATGATTTGTCACAGGGTTGACTGGACAGCTCATGTGCGTTCACATCCTCGTTCCCCAGTGCCGCGGCCAACTCGGGTCTGACCACGCTGAGCGGCCTCCGGCCAATTTCACTGGACAAAACCAGGATCACTGCTCCACAACCACAAATGCTAAACCTGCACAGATTGGCCAGTGGTGCCAATGCAACCAGGCACAAACAGCCCATGGCATTTCTGCTGGGTGCCAGCACACTGGCCATGGAGTTTGGGCCAATAAGTTTGCTTTCACACCAACTGTATGCCAACCACAGAAGAAAAGACAGTATCTGCTGCAAAGCTGGGGTGTATCTGACAATTTCTAAAATGCCAGGTGTTATTAGAAAGTACGATTTCTCTAGTAGCAGGTAATTAAATTAATTATAGCAAAATTAGTCAAAAGCCTTGTGGTTAAATTATGTGTGTAGCTCTGATGTAATTTTTGATAACCATCTTTGCTACCACAGAGCAGAATAACCTTCTCTACTGAAGGTGCAAATGAAATTATACCCAAGGATCCAGATTTTCCATCTCATTAAACTATGGCCTCATTCAAGCATTTATGAATGGTTTGCAAATGGATGAAGTCTCAGCCTTCTCACAGTGCTACATGTCTGAGCAGGGATATTTCATAAGTAAATTACTTGTGTCTTTATCCACTTCTGATGGTGTGGGGCTGATGGAGAAACATTTGCACAGACTCACAAATCTCTGTGTTTCTGGCCTAGATAGGGAGAAAACAGATGAGGTAAAACACCTTAGATGAGTCCAGGAGCAACAGGGCTGAACTAGCAGAGGTGTTTTTACAGGGGTGCACAGAAACTGGAAGGCCATCAGGGTCATGGATGAATGTCAGAGTAGGAAGCAGCATGTGTTTCTAAACTGGCACAGAGAATTGGTGCACAGAAGGGTGCAATGTCTCTGTCACTGGGAAGTGGGAAAACAGACAGAGAGAGATTCATCCTTGCTGCAGAGTTGGGTAAAAGGACCTCCCGAACAAACTTTCATCCCATCAGTGATTGTAGGCTGTGTCAGTCCAAGACACAGGAGGGAAAAAGAAGTCAAGAGGTCACTTTCTAAAGGCAGGATATGCTAAGTCTGGAAGGCAGCTGCCAGAGGGCAGAGGAGTTTGGTATTTTGAGGACACCGACAACTCCTCAGTTTGCTGCTGGAAGAGACCAAAAGGAAGATTTTCCAGTTACTCACCATAGCTACAAGACAGTGCAACAGGCCTGGTCCTCGTGACACTGCTCCCGTGGGACACCACACACACAAATTCCCCAGGCACGGTTTTGTCCAGGCGAACCTTCCTCCCGCCGTCCTTAACACAAGCCCCAGGGGCGCTCAGCTCTTTGCCACTCAGCTGCCACCGAAAGGTCATGCTCTCAGTGCTGGTCGCGTTGCAGGACAACTCTGCAGTCCCATTGGGGAAGCACTGGATCCCAATGGTCGGCTCTGGTCACACACAGCACGGGACAATGGGAACAAGGAGGAAAGACAGAGGTGAGGAGCAGACTCAGCAGTGAATAGGAGCTTAACAGGAGCTTCCCTTACCAGCAATCTCAGTACCACCGCATTTGCTGGTAGCCAGGGAGCACAGAAATAAGTAACCAGACCCATCAGTGCCTGCAGTCAACCCTGAAATACTTAACAGTGCCCACCCCAACCCTGCTAGTGACTCTTTGGTCCCCATTTTGGGGATGCGACAAAAATCTGGCATTTCTTAATTTTCCTCACTGACATTGAAAAAAACCCCAAAAAATAAAAGCCCCTGATCTGAGAGGATTGCAGAAATATCCAAAGAATCTGCCAGCCAGAGGCTTTCTCTGTAATCAGCAGATAACCATAACTTCAGAGCAGACTCAGCCCTTTCCTCCCCCAGAGGTTTGTAGTTTTGCTGTCACTCTGTCTCTTCTTCCACTGTAGAGAGGAACTAATGCAAATCATGCCCAGCATGGGAACCCACACTTCTCACCAAGCAGTGAGAAAGGATACCCATACTATGACTTTTTAAAATTAAGCAATGGATCATTGCTCTTACTACATTTCCCTGAATTTCTCTCTCTCAGTCTACTACAAGGAGCAAACCTCTTTCCTACATTTGTCACTTTACAAATACAAACTAGACAGAGATGTAGTGTGGTTTTTTTGACAGCAGGAGTAATAGTAGAGAACATCCATCCATGCAAATAAGCTCAGAAATCACTTTCTTCAACTAGGACATCATCTTCAGGTAAAACTCATGCCTCCAGAAACGCCTTTGCTGTGAAATTGTTTCCCTGCCTTAGGTGTGGCAACAGAACATAAGGAGGAGACAAAAGCCCCCATAGCAAATCCACTGAAATGGAGGTTAAACCCAGGATACTTCTGCAGTCTTTGCCTGCTTCCAGTCCAAGCCCCTGATCTTTGTGCCGAGGAGTCACATCTTTGACCTACTCTCCACCGTGGTTCCGCCTGCTTGCACCCAAAAGGGGGAAGCGTTCATTTGTCTTCACTGAGATCAGTTTGCTCAGACATTTTCATTACAGGTTCATACGCTTCAGTTTATCTTAGAAGCTTGTGTAAGTGAAAGCCCTGCAAAAGGAACGGTGGAGATGAGGACCGGAGCAGTGGTCACTGGCTGCCTGGAACACTATTCTGCAGGGGACAAACCCATTGAAGCCTTCTCCACATTACCACAAGCAGTGAGCTGGATCCTGGGCAGAAGCGACTTTTTTTCTTTGCACCCTGCAGGTGGATGAACAGGCACACAAAAGGGAGCAGGAAATCTGAGACCACAAGGAGAACAGTGGGGAGGCATGGGTAAGATCCCTGTCCCTGGTCTCTGGACAGACCCAGAGGATGCTGACCCCCAAGCTGCATCAGGGGTAGCTAAGAATCACTCACAGATGCCTTTAGCACTTTTCCTCAGTTGCATGAAGCAAGGGGAAACCCCAGCACACCTCAAACCAGACCTGCACAGAAGTCCAGTTCCACTTTCAGAGCCAAGTCAGGTAGGGTTAACTCCTTGAGGAAGCAGCAAAATGTCCAGCAGCTGTCCACAAGCAGCAAAATGCTGTTGGTCAGTGGCAGCTTTTGTGAGAGCCATCAGGAATAGTGCTCTGGAAACAGACTGAAATCTCCAGCTACGTGTCTCTACATAGTGTAAGCTTGACTTTACAAACACTTCTTGCTGCTGCCTCTTACATCATGGAAAATAGCCCAGAACTCAACTGACTGGATACTTCACGGAGGGATCAACAGTCAGGAGACACAAAGAGGATGCAAAAATCATGTCTTAGTTTACACTGACCACTACTGCTCTGTGAATGTGCCAGAAGCTTTAAAAAACCTTCTTCCATAGGCACCTATAGCTCCTGCAGGCTCAAGCCATTTCTCAGGAGGAGTTTCAAGGCACCAAGCTTCCAACCAGGTTCACAAGTTCAAAAGCTATTTGTTGCTAAGAAGGCTACTTACCAAATACTTCCAGTGCAAAGTAACTGGTGGTGTTGGGAAAAACAAATTCATATTTTCCTTCATCCTCTTTCTCCACACTCTTCAGCTCCAGGGAGCCATTCAGCCATTTCAGGCATCTACAGGCAGAATTGCCGCACTTGGCCAACAAAGCGTCATTTAAGACAGTTGTCGAGCACACCCCGTCCCCTTTGCTCATTCTGGAGAGGTTCTGCAGGCTTTGGTTTCCCACAGAAAAGACTGCTGAGCCGCCACTGAGCACACCGATCCGGGCAGCAGAGCCTGAAAGGAGAGGCACAGAGAGCGGGCAGCAAGCATTCCGTGTCCATCCATCCCCTCTCAGCCACCTCCCCAAAAGGCAAATGCCCAGGTGAGACGTAAGAGGGACAGACCCAACCGTAGTGACAGGTTGGATCACCAGTGATTGAAAATCAGAGGAGCGGGATGCCTTCTGTAAGGGTCAGCTTCCCCCCACCTCGATAACCCAAGAAAGGTGTGCACAAAAAGGGAAACAAAAGGCTGAACAGCTGGTCTTTTCTCTCCCCAAATTTAAATCGACCATCTACCACCCCCCATCAGAGCTGAGAGACTGTGCAAGTAAAGATCCTCAAGGCATCAGTGCCATGGATCCTGTACAGAGGGTAGCAGAAAGAGCAGCTGCCTGCACAGCTGCTTCTCCCCGAAGAGTAAGGTCGAGGCTTTAACTGGAACAAGTCTCCCAGTACCCTCGTGCGTTATTAAGTTGCTGTCTGCCACTTAAAATTCAAAAGATGGTTAAGAGCAGCTCGGGGACTAAACCAAGGTCACACCAAGAATCAGGAGCAGGACCACATTGCTCTCCAGCCAGCCCTGTGTGTACAAGGACTTCACGTTCTCCGCTAAAATGCTCTCACAGACGCAGGACACCCGGAAAGTGCAATACTGTTAGTTATCGTTCGTTTACAAAAAAAAAATAATCTGTCTTACTTTGGTCTGACTGCCTCGTTCATGCATTAGCGGCTACACTGTCTGATATCGCCCCAAACCTGGTGGAGTCCTTAAAAGATCTTGGAGCAAAATTAAGGCATCTGCTCATCTAGACAAATCTGTGCCAACTCCATAAAGAGAAATCCCACTTACCATGAGTAACAGTTATTATCACCAGCAGGCACTGCAGAGTAAAAGGAGAGCCGAAATCCATTTTAAAGAGCTCCTTGCATCATACGCTGAGAGGACAATCTGGCTACAGAGCTCAGTGAATATAGTGTTCAGGAAATGATGTCAGAAGCAAGAGTGGGGGAAAAAAAAAAGAAACTCCATAATGGACAGATTGAATGATGGTTCAAAATAGACCTGCAAGGTTTTGGGTGACTGACCTCAGGCTGAACCAACACAAGCCACTGTGTGCTCTGTAAAGTCCCGCAGGTTGGAGATAACTGCGTGTGTGGAAATAGGGCTGAGTGGAGAGGACAGACAAAAATATCCCCTGGTCAGCTCACCCCACTTAGGAAGATGCTAACACTAAGACCAGGTAAAGGCGAAAGAAACCTTTTCTTTCATCCTTTTCTAGTTTGTCAAAGTACAGCATCCTCATTCAGGGAAGAGAAATCAGTTCAGTCAGATAAAGCACTGCACATGCAGACCAGCAGGTTTTCTGAAATACTAGCAGAACTCACTCATGGAGGGTCTCACCAGCAGGGAGGAGGCGTAGGACAAAACTTTCCCTCTGTTCCCAAAAAATATGTTGCCAGCCTGAACTTTTTTGGGCTCCTCTAGTGACCAAACGGTACCTGACATGCAGGAAAGAGCTCCATACAGCCACCCCAGGCAAAGAAGAAAGGTTATAGGAAGTTAAGCTGCATTGCAAAACTAAACTGAATGCAGCCTGAAAGACACCCAGGCTCTGTTGGGAGTGCAGATCCCAGAGACGAGACAGAAAAGCCAGTCCTGAAGAACCCCCTGTGAACCAGCTATCTACGGGGCCTTGTAGAGCCAGATGCTTTGTTTGCATTCTTTGAGGTGGCTTAAAGCACACTGGTGTGTTGCACTGAGTACCAAGGTGTGCTACACAAGCAACACAGCACAAACTGTCTCGCTCACTGGAGGAAGGAAACTGGTATAGCACTGCAGCCAACACTCAGCAAATGTGCTGGGGAATAACTACAGCAGCGGTTCAGGATGCAACTGGGAACATTATACTTTTGTGCTTGTTCTCTGGGCACAGACAAGAACACAGCCCACTAAGGGAGCTCCACAGGGTGGAATCACATGTACACATGCATTTCTGAGAAATGGGTAAACCCATTATCTTGTGTTCTGCCCTGTTTTTCCAACAATGCTATGCTCAATAAATTCCACATTTCAGCCACTGGTTTGGCCCCTCTGACTTCTCATCAATGACAATCACATCTTACCTCCTACTCCCAGTGTCCTAAACTTACAAGTTTGTTCGAGGCTGCCACAGCAACATCCTGTCTTTATCGTACGTGCATAGGACAGGTCTAAATTGATCTGAGACAGAAATAGACTTCTCTGAGAAAAGCAGTGAAGCGAATCTTCAGATACAGCAGTGCAGAGGAAGGGGGAGAGAAAAAAGTATTTACAGTAAGAAACACTTTCATTTCCTTCTGTGCTGCTGAAGTAACACGAAGAAGCCCCTGCAAGACTGGGGCTTACCATCTGCCTCGGAAGTGCACATTCAACCTCTGTTCACCTTCATGCTTGAGGAACGGGCTGGTAGAGCTTAGGGTTGCAGTGCTGTGCTGGAGACACGAGACAGAACAGACAGCATGTGCAGGGTTGCTTCAAAATAGCACCCCAAAATCTTCAGAATCTCAAAAAAAATACAAAAAAACCCCCCAAAATCCAAATAGGGTCTGCATACAGACTAATCCAGCAAAATTTCACCTTCCCCTCCAGGCAGTGAGAGCAGCCTCAGAGAGCTCATTTACAGATTTGCACTAAAATCCAAGGAAAATATGGCCTTTCTGCTGTCACTGTGGTTACAGAAGTGACTCTGCATGACTGTGACATTGCGGTGTCCTGTATTAAGTCTCCCTCTCAGTGACTCCAGGGCAAATGAGTACATTTATGAGTTCAATATTTCTGACTGCAAGTGCCCCATACATCACCCAGTATATGAAGTCCCATTAGGCTTCTTCTGTCCCTCACATCCTCACTAGCTAAAATTAAAAAAAAAAAAAAAAAAAAAGGAAACACAGCCAGGATAAAGATGACAGCACACACACAGTCTGTGTTGTCATCAATCAGCAGCCTCTTTTAAGAGAAACTCTCCCAAGTTTCATATATAATGAAGTTTTTAGATGAGATTGGGCACTAATTTCTAGCATTGGTTAATAAATGCTCACAACAGCCATGGCTTGCCAGAGAATTCACTTCCTCTTTTTATATAAAGACACATTTATGTGATTGGATTGCTGCGGATAAAAAAGCACCTTGTGAGGCTTAACAGAAAACACAAGTAGAAAAAGGGAGAAAAAGAGAAAAGAGATCAAAAAACCTACAAGAATTTGAAGCTGGAAGATGAACTAAACCTTTTTTGACTTAGTGAGGTGCAAGCTCACAGGGTCATTTTGCCCTTTCAGCCTGAAAGCATCATGAAAGGAGAATGGAGATTCACTCCTTACATAGCATGAGGCATTGATGGAGCATGGGAGATTGGAAAACCTGGGCTAGCAAGAAGAGAAGGAAATAACCCGTGAAGTACTACGAAGAAATCTGTACATATCAACTCTGCACATCTTCCTTTCCATAGGCTGGTGAGCAGTGCACCCATTTTTACTGTCATTAATGTATGTCAGTGTTCACGGGGGAAACACATGGGCCCAGTTTCATTTGGAGGGAGCTGACAGAGCTAAATGCCAGAAACTCAACACAGAAACAGAAAACAAGCCTGCAACTCCAGCAATGCATGGCTGCAGTCATCCTTCTGTCCATCCATCCCCTGTGGTGGAGCAGCATGGTTACACCACAGGCTGCCAGAGCAGGTACAACCAGGACTGGACAGCACTGGGAGGAGGGAGAGGTTTGCAACCTGTCCAGTCCACACCTACAGCTATTCATGCATGTGACATTTCCTTTGAAACAGGCTTTGAGTGGCTCTCAGGAGAGTTTAACTGTGCAGTCACAAAGCAGGAATTGGGGGCACACCTGAGAGATGCCTCTGCATGGGGCAGCAGGACCCCAGAAACTGACAAAGATTCACATTCATATGAATTCTTTCTTTGTTAAATTAAACTCGCCAGAGAGCTATGCTTGAACTCTGAACTCTTGCTTGATCAAAAAAATAGCGAGAGCAAGCAAAACAAGAGCAAATACTAATGTCAGAGCCTCAAGTACAGATGACAGGATGTGTCCCTGTGACAGGGACATTTAAAGTAACCCACAAATTAAAAAAACTACATTGCAGAAATGTGCTGACATCAGGAACCACTACAGAAAGGCTCTGGGCCTGATTATGGTCAAGGTACACGTGGGTTTCTCCAGCCTGCAGTACCTCCAGGGACGATACAGTCCAACACTTGCAAGAGTCAGGGCCAGGATTTCTGTAGCTCCTGGAATGCCCCCATGGGAACTGTCAGTTCTCCAGTGACAGGGGCTAATGGATACACACTCTCTTCTTCAGAGCATCCATGGGTATTTTCAGCTTTCTCTTGACAAGAGATGGAAGGAATGTCCAAGGTTCTGCAAACATAGATGAGGACTTGGTTGTGTTGGGGGCTTAGCAACAGGGCTAATAGAAGGAAAACCTGTACAGATACCCACTGTGATGCACGAAGACAAACCTGGGAGATCTCCCTGAAGCAGGTTTGCTGCACCTCAGGTAGTTCTGGTGAGTCACACACCACTGGTCCTGGTTTCCCACTTTCTGCCACAACCTTTCCTTTTGCTGTTTGATGCTGAGGTTATCTGGGATCCAGAGAACCAGATGCTGCTGATCTGACTAAAAGGTACAGCACAAGCAACAGTGGGTGGCAGGGAGGATCCTAAAGGGACAGAGAAGATCATGGGACTCTTCACAGGACCCAGAAGCAAATGGAGGATCTAATCTGCAGAAGATCTCTGCTCAAAATAACCTAAGTAGAAAAGCTTGTAGAAGAACTTGGATTTCATGCACTTGGTGCCCACCTGCCTCGTGATCTGGGGCAGCCCTGTAATGCACAGCAGAGCAGCCTCATGCCTTAAGACTACAGAAAGAACAAGTTGGACAGAGGTCTTCTTCATCTCCCATTTCTGACAAGTTAAAACCCAGGTGTTTGTCACAGATCCCATAGTTCATGCACAAGCTCCCCTCTCCCAGCTCTGTTTCAGATCCTAAACAAGACCAGCCAGGATTACAGCAGCTTATTCAGATTTCTACTCATCAACAAGTTGCTGTTACCCTCAGGACTTCTCTTCTTTCTCCTGCTTGAATCTCTGGGGGCTTCTCCCTCTGTCTCCAGCATCAGAGAGTTCAGGGGCAAAGTCGTGAATTCACCCCAACTCCACCACTGCTGAGCAGCCTTGGGGGAGAGATCGAGGTAGGTCCACAAAAAGAGCAGAGACGTGGAGTAGATGCTCTGCTGTGTTACCATCTCATCCTGGCACTCACAAACCACCCCCCTGCAAGGTGAGATGAACAAGAACACAAGGATCCCAGCGGTCCAGGTCAAGCACACCAGCCACATACAGTTTCTCTGACATGGCTCTTCCAGTTTGGTCCATGATGACAAGTGGAAAGAAGAGCCCATACATGGAATAACTGCTAGAAACTACACTATTTATAATTAGCACAACTGTGTGCGGGGGGAAATGCTTTGCATTTGCTTGAAAAAAACCCATGCCCAAATGCCGTATTGTTGCAGAGCTATTCAGACACACGGGTTCAATCATGCTGCTACGTGAACAAAGCTTGACTGGGGGACAGCAAGCACAGGCAACAGGCTATAAGCTTTGGCCAGCTTGGCTGGAGTTGGAGGAGAATCTGTTTCTGTGAATGGATAATGGGAGGAGAAGGCCAGTTAGGATACAACTTGCCACAGATGGGTGCAGGACAACTGTGGGTTTTTGTTGTCATCTCTAAGGAATGACTCCAATGGATTTCAGACCCCAAACAGTTTCAAAGTTGCATCTTTCTCAGAGGCTGCTACCGTGTAACTCTTCCATCCCTGCCCCCAAAATCGAGACAGACTGTCTGTCAGAGATTCTCAGCTCCTGGCAAGCAGGAGCT